ATCTACAAAAGAACAGATTAATTTAAGAAACAAATGCATACTAATTGGTATAATAGTAATTATATTATTGGCTATAGCAATATGGGGGGTATCCCGCATAATAAGAAATTCCACCATAACTCAAAAAATACGTGAGTTATATAATAAAAGAAAAGTAACTGCAATAGAAGCAGAAGCAGATAGAATCAAAGCAAAGCTGGAGCAGGAGATAAAGGAGCAGGAGAAGCAGGATCTGGATGAGTATGCGCAGCAGATACGGGGTGCATATATAAATGTGAAGCAGAAGAGTCTAGAGCAGGAGTGGCTGGAGGATGAGAGGCTGGAGGAGCAGGTGGAGCACGCGAATGAGCTGAAGAAGGTGCAGGAGCAGGAGAGGCTGGCTGAGGAGAGGTGGGAGCAGAAAGAGTGGAAGCAGCAGGAGAGGCACAAGCGGGCGCTGGAAAGGCAGAACCTGGAGCACGCGAATGAGATACGGGAGATGAGGGAGGTGGGGAAGCTGAAGATGAAAGAGAGTGATATGATATTCGAGAAGAAGAGACAGGAGAAGCTTAAGGCGAGTATAATATTGAATACTCAGAAGGTTCTGGAGATGAAGGAGGAATATAGGCTGGAGGATCAGATGCGTGCAAATTCGAACAAGGAGAGGAAGGAAAGGATGAAGAAGTGGAAGGAGGAGCAGAAGAGGCAGGATCAGGAGAGAGACGAGAGGGACGAAAGGCTGGATATGCAGGATCTGGTGAGGCAGGAGAGGCTGGAGATACAGAAGATGCAGGAGGAGCTGGCAAGGCTGGAGCAGGAAGCAACTGAGGCTGAAGAAGCAGGGAGCAGGGAGCAGAGAGCAGCTGTAAATAATGCAAGAAATAATTAAAATAAGCTATGTACCCACATTGTGGAAGATAACTTAACTTTGGGCATGGATGGCAGTAGTCTACTATAAAAGTACATTAGAATATCTGATTGTTTCTTTATTGGATAAATAAGAGTGATGTATAATTTGTAATATAAGCATGATTTATTAAAATAGAATATTATTTATGCCTGATATGATAATCACCACTCAGACGGGAGCCCCAAGAGCAATCTGTCTGTGTGCCATATTGTGCAGTGATAATTCTAAAGCAAACTATTGGAATCTCTGAATCAGTATGTCAACTTACGACTATTTAGCACATTCACTAATTTCGGAAAGACTCTGGGAAGCATTGATGGCTTTTAAATTCAGTACCAGGTCTAACTCAGTCGTGTTACTAAGACTTCGCGCCTGTGCAGGCGTATGCCGCTTCCTAATACAATAAAGAGCTTTTCTCTTTCACCTTCTTCTCTATTTGACTACGTGGCAGGGCGGCGGTTCCGTTAACCCCCTCGTGGGTACATCAAATTTAATAGAAAATAAGTTTAATTATAACAAATAGAAGTTCACACTTACAAGAAGACGGGGAAAATAAACTGAAGCCAATATAAGATCTGAAAGTGAAATTCGGGTTATACGGCTTATATTCTTTATTCATACAGCAGAGATTAGAGTATTTCATTAAATATAGAAATCCTAATATAAGATGAGAATAATAAAAAATTTAATGGGTCTTAATTATTGTACCAGAAGTAAGCAGCTTATGTAATTGACGAATTCATCAGAAACTCATTAAAATTTGATGGGATCATTTTACATCAACAGCCCGATTTTTAATTTAAAACGACGTGATCGAATTTCCGTTTTTTAAAAATATAAATGTTGAAAAAATTTAAATATTAAATATGATAACTACTAGAGTAAACGAACAGAAAAATAATTTCATAGGAAGAAGTATTTCTGGAATATCAATGAAAGGCATTAAAGACACAATATTTGCATCTACAAAAGAACAGATTAATTTAAGAAACAAGTGCATACTAATTGGTATAATAGTAATTATATTATTAGCTATAGCAGTATGGAGGGTACCCCGCATAATAAGAAATTTCAATATAACTCAAAAAATACGTGAGCTATATAATAAAAGAAAAGAAAAAGTAACTGCAACAGAAACAGAAGCAGATAAAGCCGCAGCAAAGCTGGAGCAGGAGATAAAGGAGCTGGAGATGCTGGAGGAGCAGGAAAGGCTGAAGCTGAAGGGGCAGGAGGAGCTGGTGCAGGAGAGGCTGGCGAGTCTGAATCTGGAGATAAAGGAGCTGAAGAAGCTGGAGAAGCAGGAGCTGAATGAGATGAAGAGACTGGAGAAGCAGGAGCTGAATGAGCTGATGAGGCAGAAAGAGTGGAAGCAGGATCTACTGGAGCTGGAGCAGGAGCAGGAGGATGATCAGAAGTGGCTGGATAATCAGATGAAGAAGGAGCTGGAGAGGCAGGAGAAGCGGAAGAAGCTGGAGCTGGAGATGCAAGAGACGCAGATGTTGATGGAGCAGGGAATGCAGGGGATGTATGAGAAGCAGATGATGTGGTTGGATCAGAGGAGGATGGAGCAGGAGAAGAAGAGGCTGGATGTTCAGATTCGGGGGAAGAGAATAACGATGGAGAACGAGATACTGGAGAAGAACAATCAGGAGTGGCTAGAGCATCTGGAGTGGAAGAAGCAGAAGGCTGCAGAGGCTGGAGAAGAAGAAGCAGGAGAAGCAGAGGCTGAAGAAGCAGAGAGCAGCTGTAAATAATAATGCAAGAAGTAATTAAAATAAGCTATGTACCCACATTGTGGAAATAACTTAACTTTGGGCATGGATGGCAGTAGTCTACTATAAAAGTACATTAGAATATCTGATTATTTCTTTATTGGATAAATAAGAGTGATGTATAATTTATTGGTATTAAATTATGCACTATCATGACTAATTATATCAGAAGTTGTTAATTAAAATATTTCAATTACAGCACAAAGGCATAAATAAA